AGGGCTTGCAGGAATACGAGGAGTGGAAGTGGTCCAAGAACCCCACCATCGTGGAGGTGCTGGAGGAGTTCCCCTCGGTGCAGATGCCCTCCACGCTGCTGCTCACACAGCTCCCCCTCCTCCAACCACGCTACTACTCCATCAGCTCCTCCCCAGAGATGTACCCAGGAGAGGTCCACCTCACCGTGGCCGTGGTCTCCTATCGCACGAGAGGTACCGTGCCCACCCAGGGGCTCAGGGGAGACAGGCTTGGTCTGGAGGGCAGGGAAAACCAATGAGCACATGGGCAACAGCACAAGGTCTCGGGCAGAGAGGTGTTATTTCACCCTACAGTGAGTAGATTCCTTCAACCCATAGTGCTGGTGTCCCGTGTTGTGGAGAAGGCCCATCCATCAAAGGGCAGTGTGTGGCAGAGATGCCAGACCTGGGTCAGGTACCAGCAACCAACCAGCCATGGTGGCCCCAAGCTCCACTTGGGATCATTTGTTTGCCCACAGCAAGGTCCACGTTGCCACAGGTAGCCAGACTTTGTACCTGGGCAAGCAGTGCTGGGTCCAAGCAGCCCTGGCCATGATGTAGATGGACACACAGCCCTGTCACCCTTGCAGCAGGCAGGACACAGGGGAAGACACTGGCCATTCATCTGGGGCTGCCATGGAGGGCTTGTGTCTGGAAGCACCACAGCATGATGCTGAAGCTCCCAAAAAGGACCAGAGAGAAGCTGGGTGCTTCCTGCAGAGGGTGGAGGTTCAGCTATCCCAGGGTTGGGTGCTGGGTGAACTTGGGTAGGTCCACAGAGAAACTCAAGTGCCAAACTTCTCCCAAGTTCATGGGGGATGGATGCAGAGATACCAAAGGTTTCAGTGAGGTGCACATGTGGAAAGCAGCAGGGAAGGCTTCAGGAAGGAGAGCCACTGGAAGAGTTGGCTGGTGTGTCAAGTACAGACCTCCTGTTGTCCCCTCCTAGATGGAGAAGGACCAATCCACCATGGAGTCTGCTCCTCTTGGCTCAATCGGATACAGAGGGATGAAGTGGTGCCCTGTTTTGTAAGGGGGTGAGTGGTCCATGCAAGGGTGGAAAAGGTGGGGTGAACCCCCTGGTAGGAGGAGCTCGTTGCCCTCAGTTCCTCTTTGCAAAGCACTGCAGGGGGGGTGTCCTACCTCCTGCCTGGGCTGCCCCAGTAGAGGCAAGAAGCTCCTCGAATATGTCCTGAGTGCAGGCTTGGAGCTCCAGCCCAGATTCCCAAACCAAACTCCATGAAAACCCTCCTGTGAAGCTGTGGGTCCCCCTCAGGTGCAGCTCTGTGCTAAAACGGCCTCTTCTGGGATGTCTCCTTCTTTCCTACCCCTTCCTCTCCGGGTGGTGTCTCAGCTTGTTGTGGGCAGAGGTGAGGGCTGGAACACCTTGCCTGGCTTTAACTGGTGTCTTCCCAGGGCTCCCGGGTTCCACCTGCCCCAGGACCCCCAGGTTCCCTGCATCCTCATCGGCCCCGGCACCGGCATCGCCCCTTTCCGCAGCTTCTGGCAGCAGAGGCTTTTTGAGATCCAGCACAAAGGTGGGTCAGTGCTTAATCCTCCTCCTACTCACCCCAACAAGTACTTGGGAACCTTGGGCTGCTGGCATGGGGTGTCCAATCTCCTGTCCTGTCCCAGGGTCCAGCCCAGAGCCCCAAAACAAACTCCATGAAAACCCTCCTGGGAAACCCTCCTTTCCTGGTGGCAGGACCAGAAGTGCTGATGTTGGGGTTTAAGGGTCACTGGATGCCAATGGAAATGAAGTAGACATTTCTCACTGGTCATTTTTTACCACTGAGGGGAAAACCAAAAGTTTCATTTCTCCCCCAAACCTGGCACAAGAACCACTGCTGTGGCACCAGCCACTTACTGGTTTCTCTCTCTCCCAGTTGGTCCAGGCAAGGCTCCTGGCTGGAATTCTTGTGCTGGACATGCTGGCAGATCTGGAGGGTGGTGGCTTGAAGAAAGGGGGTATTGGTGGTCCCTGGGCTGACTGCTTCCCCATCTCTCCCTCAGGTCTGAAGCCTTGTCCTATGGTCCTGGTGTTTGGCTGCCGACAGTCCAGGATTGACCACATCTACAAAGAGGAGACCCTCTTTGCCAAAACCCAAGGTGTCTTCAGAGAGCTGTACACAGCCTACTCCCGGGAACCAGACAAACCAAAGGTGGGTGGTGGGCACTACTCTGGTCCTGCTGGGCAGCCCTGGATGGGCTTGGCCAGCTGGTACATCCTGAAGGTGCTGGTTCCTTGACATGGCCATAGTGGTTCACGCCCCGGGGGTGCTCTGGTTGGATGTGTGCAGGATGGTGCCCTTCCCAGGGGACATCCCCCTTCCCTGCTCCAGCCTGCACGTGTCCCACACCACTCAGGCTTTGCTCTGGGGGGCTCCAGCCACCCTTACCAGGGAGCAGATGAGGAGGAGAAAGGCCTGTCCTCCCAAGCAGGGAGGCAAGGAGGGATGTCACCAGGTGGGGTGACCCAGAACCAACCCAAACATCTGGGTTAGATCCCCACCACCCCCTGAAGAGGCACTGGGAGACACGGTGAAGGTGTGAAAATATGAGAGCTTTGCTGCTTTGCTGCTTCCCCCTCATCCCTTTCCCATCGTTGTGGGGGTGCAGATGTGCTCCCCCAAAGAGGTGGTCACGTCGCTCTGCTGCCTTCAAGGCAGCTGGTGCACCCCAAGCTGGCCAGAGCTGGCAGGTGGCCGGGGCTGAGAAGCTGTGGTTGATCCCAGCTCCCACCTCCTCCTCCCTCAGAAATACGTGCAAGACGTGCTCCAGGAGCAGCTGGCCCAAACCGTGTTCAAGGCACTGAAGGAACAAGGAGGCCACATCTACGTCTGCGGGGACGTCACCATGGCTGGGGATGTCCTCAAGACCATCCAGGGCATCGTGAGGCAGCAGGGCCAGCTGTCGGTGGAGGAGGCTGGTGCCTTCATCAGCAAGCTGAGGGTGAGCAGGCTCTGCAGCACCAGGCACTGCCCCAGCTCCTGCCACGGGCACTGCACCTGCTGCGTGATGGGCAGCACCCAGGAGATGGGTGCTGGGGATGGGGATTGCAGCTCTCACCCAGGCTGCCTGCACCCAGGCAAGGTCGGGAGTGGGATCTTGCACAGCTTTGGGTGCAACTTGGCGTGCTAGGCTCCTGTCATGCTGTGCTGAGCTCTGGTACAAGCTCATTCGGGCACCCTTGGTAGCCCAGAGGGGGCTGGTGAAGTCCCCGCTGTCCCTCCGGCACTGCAGTGAGTTCACAGGGCAGTCCGTGGGTCCCCCTCCCCAAATCTGGGGCTGGGGGATGCTCCCCTTGGGCAAACACGTTGCTGCCAGGTTGTGTTGCAGCTGAAGCAGCAGGGAGCTCAGGTTGGAACTGAGTGATGGCTCCTTGAACTGCTCTGCTTCTGCCCAGGAGGACAACTCAGCCCCGTTGCCCCTTCTGAACCACCTCCCCCACACTCCATCCCAAGGGCCACCTTTTCAGCTGGGGCTGCTTGTCCCCCCCCCCTGCTAGCCAGGCACTCCTGGGTGAGCAGCACCTGATCAGGTCTGATCCTCCCAGCAGCTCCATCACTGCCCCACAACACGACCTCAGGAAGGTCATTTCACCTCCCTGCTTTGTCCCTGTCCCCTCTGCCCTGTGCCAGCCCCCGGGGCACTTGCTGCCCTACCTGCCCCGCAGCTGGTGCTGCAGCCAGGCTGAGGGCTGGGAATCCTGCAGCCCTCCCCCTCTCCCACCCCGTGTTCCAGGACGAGAGCAGGTACCACGAGGACATTTTTGGGGTCACCCTGCGTACGTACGAGGTGACGAACCGCCTGAGATCCGAGTCCATCGCCTTCATCGAGGAGAGCAAAAAGGACACGGACGAGTGAGTCCACACGTTTCTTTTAACCCCTGCCACTGCCTCCAGCTGAGGGGGGGGGCTTGTGAACTTCTGCACCCATGGGTGCAGAGGCTGGGAAAAAAGGGGTTTGGTTTTTTGCCCTGGAAGCTGCTGCGAAATCGCCTCACTGGGGACAAATCTCCCTTCCTGGGGTTGTTGCAGCCAGGTGCTCAGACCTGCCCATCCCAACCAAACCCTGATGCTGAGCAGGAGGCTCCTGCCCACTGCCAGCCTCCTGGAAGGTTTGCAGGATCCATGGGGAAGGGGGTTTGCAGGATCCAGGGGTGCAGGCAGCAGGTACCCACAGTGGGAGAGGCCTCCAGGCTGCTCCAGGCTTTTCTTTCCACTGTTGTAAAAAACAACTGTAGAAAGTGGGGGAAAAAAAAGAACCAACCACCTTGACATTTGCTGTGTTTGTTTCTGCTCCACCACGTCCTGCCATTTGCTCAGCTCTGTCTCGGTGGGATTTTCCCTGGCTGAGTAGAAGGATTATTCAGGATATTATTTAGAATAAAGGATGAAGGGCTGCACGGATCATAGAACCATAGAATGGATCAGGTTGGAAGGGACCTTAAGACCATCAGGTTCCAACCCCCCTGCATGGGCAGGGACACCTCCCACCAGCCCAGGCTGCTCCAAGCCCCATCCAACCTGCCCTTCAACACTGCCAGGGATGGGGCAGCCACAGCTTCCCTGGGCAACCTGGGCTCCTTCTCCTGGTCTCCAGCAGCCTGGGGTCCAATCCCCTCCCTACACTCCTGGCTGATCCAGAGGAGGTTTCCCAGCATCCCTGAAGCTTGCTAGGAATTTTTCTCCCCCACAATACATACTCCAGGGTCTGCACTCTCTACAGTGTGCCTCAGTTTCCCACCTCTAGGTGGGAATAAGGGTTAGTGACCTGCCCACCCCACCCAGCTGCAAGAAGCTCTGCAAATCCCTTCTGCACCACTGTCCCTTGGGAATTCCCCACTGCTCCTTTTAAGTCCAACCTCTCTCCCCTTTCCCTTGCAGGGTTTTCTGCTCCTAACTGGACCCTCTGCCCCAAGGGGATGCCAAACCAGTCCCAGCACCTGCTGCCCCCTCCAGCTGGAGGGCACTGGGTTTTGTATTTCACGGACACGGTGGCTCCTTTTCCTCGGGGAACTGCCCATGGAAGTGCTCTGTCCCTTGTCCTGTTGTTGTGTCCTGATGATGATGAT